AACCTTCAGGGAAGGAATATGGCAAATATTTAACAGGAACAGGTGTCAGACAGGAGTTTATCACAGGAAACAGAGGCTGTGTCAGACAGCTGAGATTAGAGAAGATAAGTGAGTACAGGACAGGAGAAATGCTCCTAGGAAAGGCTGGAACAGGCTGACTGTCCTTAGGCACTTGTAAACACTGCCTGTATGCTCAGTGTTACACATCCTGCCTGAAAGCAAGTGCCTTCTGAATGCCCCATAACTCTTCCTTTAGTGCTTAATCTGGTATACTGTGACAGTCTTGCCAATCATTTCATACAACAAGATAAGGAAATCACTTTTAAGCATGCTCTGAATCAGAAGTGCACTGAACTTGCAGTGGTCCTTTTGGCCATGGAGTAACCCCATACAAATTATTGGAGGGGCCAAACTCCCTGAGCTCTAGGATGGCTCAGTCCCAGGATTTCAGGTTAAAACTAGGCTAGAAAAGCAGAAATTCTCAGAGAAACAACCTGTATTGGCCCCAGGGCCTGCAAGTGAAATAGAGACCTGACCTCCTTTCTCATTCCCACTCCTTTATCTTCTTGCTCGATCAATATACAATTATTTTCTGTCAGCTCTTCATAAAAATGCCTTTTCTGGCGGCAGGAAGCACATTCAGGTGCACCTGAATGCTCAGACAGACCCTGCCGCGCAGAGCCAGCCCTAAGGTCACGCTTCACATTCTGAAGCCTGGTCCTCCTTTCAAAACACATTTAATGGTTGATTATCTTATTACAGCCCAAAGGTGACTACAGAAATGACTGCATCTTCAATGGTTCATTCTCACCATCAAAGTTCTCAACAGGCCTAGGGGTGCATGTAAAACTATTTCAGATTATTTCTACATAAGATCTATCATCAGGATCCAGTTCTGCTGCCAGCTTTTGCTGTTTGGTTTCTGCAACGTAAGGCACCAGCACCACCGGAGAGGCCTGCAGCTCAGCAGGCCTCAGCAGCTCTGAACAGGGGTGCTGGAGAAAGCAAGGATCCACAGTGTGTGCTATGAGAGGCTTCAGCACATGATTTGAATACCTTAATGCTCACAGCAGCAAGTGATTCAAGAACTAAAACAAGAGGCCAGCAGTGAGAGAAGAGCATATGGAGAGAACTTGTTCTCGGCTGCAACCTTTGGCCAGCAAAATATAATGACACAGGGACAAATGTAACTAGCAGATGATATAAATGAAACACAGAGCAAGTGTACGCTGATGTTAGTACCTGCAATCCCTAGGGAATGCCGCCGCATCTGGACACTTCTACAGGGAGGAGAACCCCTCCATGCCAGCAGCTCTGCAGAGGACAGGATGTCATCAGCCACCCAGGCCAACGGGGTCTGTGACACAGAGCCCCTGGCCACCTCAGGGACAAATCCCACTCACTCCTGCTCACAGCATCCGTCTGTCCTGCAGCCAACGTGCCTGAGCTGCCGGGTGTAGGAGCAGAGCCCGCTCACACCACTGCCTCCCTCAGCAGCACAAGCAGGGCAGGAATTTTTTGCGCAGACATCTCCAGGGCAGCTGGTAGAGCTCATAAATAACAGACTTTTTTTTTCCCCCAAAGAAGCCATGAAAGTAAAGACAGAAAACAGGAAATAAAATCTCCACTTCACAGGACAGGAGAGACAGAGGGCCAAGCTTTTGAATTATGTGCATCAGAACAGGACTATTGATTCAAAAAAGAAAAAGAATAAACAACAGAGATGAGGACTCAGCTTCCAAAAAGTAACTTGCTCAAGGCCACAAGCTGGAGCAAAGAAGCAATCTGGACACAGGTTTTCTCAAATGAAAATACATCTTCTAGCCACTCTCCATCACATTTTTGTGCGTGCGCCTTTTTGTGCTTGGATGCCCTGCTGAGTTTGGGATGTCCAGACCTTCAGCCTCAAATTTCTAATTACAAAACACTGCACAGAGGGAATCACACAACAGAAATAACTACCCCAGAAAGAGCCCTGCACTTATTAGCACAGACCTTCAGGAATCTGAGGAGCAAATGGGAGAGAGGCTGCAAGACACGGGAAGGATGAGCACAGCAGTCCTGGACTGGCTGCTGAAAATCTGAATTATGTGGAGCAGGGAGGATCACTGAATGTGAAAGAGAAGCAATTTCGCTGTACTGAATAAAAAGTTTAATGAAAGCAGAAAATCTGTCTCCTTCTGAAGGTTGTGTCTTCCAGTGACACCTGGAGAGCAAGGGCAACAGAGAGGTCCTTCTGGAGACTAAAGGGTGCAAAGGTAAGTAAGGAATTTAGGATCAGAGTGAACACACAAACACTTGCTTTGCCCAGTGACTACTTTGTGATTATAAAAACATAACACCCAGCTGATCTCCTTTCTATCAGGGGCTCTGGCTTATCCACAGGAGAGAAAAAGATCAAAGGCAAAGATTAAAGGAAACAATTTTCAATTTTAAACACAGCGTCTTAACGCGATAGAAAGGAATAGTCAAAGCAGCTGAAAAAGCTCTCGGGGTCTGGGAGAGACGCCTTGGCTGAAAGTGCTGCAGTGTTTTCCATATTCGTCTGCTTTATTTTTAAACACCCAGAGCCCTTGCTTGATCAACACTTCCCCGGTAAAGAAGGAAGCAAAGGAGAAATGAGGGACTGTGAGGAGAGAGGCAAATGAGCTTGGAAACTGATGATCTTCCCAGCCGTGAAAGTCAAAATTCCTGCTTGAAACCAAACACTCCTGGAGACATACGCAGGCATGCGGGAAAGGGGAGGGAAGAAAGGATGATTTATTGCTTAAACAGAACTAAAGTTCTGCTGAGAAAAAGGTCCGTTCAATCCACATTGGAACGTCTACAGAAGAGCTGAAATGGGATTTGCCATATTTCCCTCTCCTTTTCACACATAAAAAAAGGCAGGGAAGGTGGTCAGGGGTTTTAAAAGGGGAGGAGGGAAAAGCCACTGAAGTCCTTGATCTTATGAAGCCCTGAACTCGTATATTCCATTTATAGCCTGAGCTGGAATGACATCCCCCTTGATTAGCCAACTGTCCAATCCAGCTGCATGCGTCGGGATTGTACGAGGCACTAAGTGAAATATATATATGCCCTTATAGAGCCTAAGACACTGGGTCCACCTCCAAGGCACGGGCTGTAGATCCTTCTGACCACTGCTCCTCTCCCAGGAATCACTTTTAAAGCTTTTCTGCAGTTTTTGGATTTTTTTTGGGGGGGGGCGGGGAGCACCTTTGCAAATCCAAACCAAACAAAATGGCACCAAAGAAGGACGTAAAGAAACCGGCAGCAGCCGCAGCGCCCGCTCCCGCGCCTGCACCCGCGCCCGCGCCCGCACCAGCTAAGCCCAAAGAACCAGCAATTGATCTCAAGAGCATCAAGGTAAACGGACGAGCGCGTGCCCAAGCGGGGAAGGCAGCCGCGTCCCTGCCGAACCCTGCGCTGAAGCGTTGCGTGTGCTTGGCTCCCGGTTGGGGACCGCAGGGAAATGAATGAGCAGCCTCAGCCGATGGATTTCTCGGTCTGGCTGAGCTTGTGGTTGTTGAAGTAGCTGGAGGTGTGTAAGGCATGAAGCATGATTTAACGCAGGAGGAAAGCCTGGCAATCCCCAGAGCGTTTTGGAGGGTGGCTCTCAAAAGCTCTGACCAAAGCAGATCAGCCTAATGCATTTGGCAGGGCTGAATTTAAAAGTGCTGCCAAAAAAACCTGCATGAGGACTGGAAAGAGTTACTGAAGCTTGAAATGCAATGTTTTCCTGTAGTGCTGTATTGAAAACATACATTGCTTTGCAGTTTCCTCTCAGATTCCTTTCCAACTTTTTGAAAGCAACTGATGAACTCTTGGTCATGTGCTTTGCAGTGTCACTTACCTTTAAAAGCAGAAACCCCAAAATACCCTAGAGGAATAAAAAGACAGTTTCGGCAGTTCCATTTTTTCCCCCTCTTCCCATTTTCATCATGCAACCAAGATTGATTCAGACCATGGGCTGGAAAGCCATGTGTGAAACTGCTTCAGGTGATTTCTTCTCCTCTCACATACTTGCTCATAACCTGCAAGTTGCTGCAAGAAAGAGAGAAGGTGTTTTGGAGGTTTCCCTCTGCCAGCACCTTCATTTGATCTCCTATTTTCTTTAGACTTTGCTCTAACGATGCCAACCAGCATTATTAATCGTTGCCTTGACCCTCGGAGGAGAACTCCTCCACGCTAGCAAATTCTTGATGTAGGAAAGCACAGAGGGAGGTGAAGCAGATAAAGAGATGAAGACACAGAACTACTGCTCTGACTTTGACTATAAATAGTTACTCTCCACCTACCTGACAAGCTGATTGGTCCCAGGACCAGTTTACAAATTTCTACATAAGGAATCATGCCTATTATGGAGAAAAGGAGTGTGAAGACTCCTAATGGAACCTACTCAACTTAACTTCAGGATGAATTCTGGTAGAGCCCCAGGATTATGATCCATTTAGTTAAATTTCTTGAAGTCTTCTTTAGTTTTCACAGCCTGTTCCAGTAAGCCAGTATTTTGCTAACCCAGTACATATGTAGCTTCCAGTAAGACTGAATCTGAACTCACCGGTAAAATAAAACCAGAAGAAATACATTCTGAAATATTTAGAGCAATCCTAATAAAGCCTATGCAGACAGTCGAATGTCTGAGAATACTGTGTACACTTGGATTAGACCTCACATTTCGCTCCTCTCCAGAGATGAGGGGACACAAGCTAGATTTCCCAGTGAATAATTCAGTGACTCTCTGTCCAGTTCATTAAGAGAAAAGAGAATTTTCAACTCCAGTGGCCCTACCTAATCTGTCTTTACATAAATAGACTTAATAGTACATCACCAGTTAAAATATGGCAAGCTGTAGTCTGAGGCATCTCCGCAGCTCAGTATGACCTGCTCCTTTGCCCAGAGAGTTCTCCATTACAGCAGGGGATCTATACTGGCAACAGAGAGAGAACAATTGGGGTTTTGTCATATCCAGCCTGATAAAAGAAGATAGTCTGCTTAAATTCTCCCACTCTCAAATGGGAATATCAGACACACTATTTTCTCCTTGAAGACAGGGGGAGAAATCTGGACTAGTAAGAACAAACTAATCTCCCAACACTAATGACAGCGCAGGAGCATCTCCACGGCTGTCTGCAAATGGGCAGAGTCCAGAGCAGGACACAAAGCACACGGCAACGCCGTGGGTACCCAGCGCACAACAGAGCAGTACAGCCATGACCGTAACGTGAGGCGGGCACCCAAGCTGCACGGGAGGGCCCCAAGTATCCCCTCCATCCCTGGACTGTCCCCTCACCCCCGTCACAGCCTGTGCGGGTGCAGCGTGGCACCTCGAGCGTGGAGCGTTGAGAGGAGGTCAGGAGGACCGTGGCATGGTTGATGCTGCCCCTCAGAGCACAGGGCATGCACGGGATGACCTCCCAAGGTCCCATCAGTCCTGGGTTACCAAACTTCATCCTTTGAGAGCTCAGGCAATGAATGGAAATACTGCCTTATGATTGACTTGCCTGGGAGATGTTCATGGCAGAGTTGGGCATCAAATTCATATTTTTTGAATTTTAATATGGCCCCTTCACTAGTGTTGGCGAATCCTTCCAGTCAGCCAGTGAAGCAGCAGCACAGGAAAGCGCACAGCATCGTTCCAGGGAAAATCTGGAGGTGGAGCTCCTAACAAGCCAGGCTTCCCACCTGGACTCCCAGGAAATGACCCCGCCACGGTGCTCTCCACATAGACCACCAGGAGCAGAGTCAAAGCCTCTAGCACATCCCACAGCACCAAGTAGCCTCCCCTCCTCTCCTCCCAGAAATTCGTGGCCATGCCAAGGTTTGCTGCTAAGGAAGGATTCCTGGGCATGACCATCCAGGGAGCCCCACAAGAGCCTCACACATTAAAGGGCTTTCTTAGCTTTCATAAAGATCTCCGCTCCTCCTCACTGTTATGGCTGGAGCCGGTAAGCACGGAATCATCTAATGAACTCTTAAATTGTCATCAGCGATTACAGGACTCTCCAAAACAAAAACTTAAGCAAATGGTTTTCATATATGGCTTTCTTTTAGGGCATCTTACTCTTAGATGCCCTGCTTGGTTTTTAAACCAAGGGGTGGACACTAGGAAAGCCTGACCTAAGAAGCCACTGAAGCCTAAGAGATCTCAGTGTTGGCACGTTTAAACAGAGGCACTCCCAAAATGGCCACTCACCTTCAGAAGTGGTGACGGGCCTTTCACCCCACTTGCTGACAGAGGCTGCTCCTTCTTCCCCTTAGACTGATCTGCTGAAAACAATTATTTAGTGGATTGCTAGTACCAGGAGCAGCTGGTATAGGATTTGCTATTTTTGAGCACCACCTATTGACTACAAAACTGATCAACAGGAAAACTGAGCTGTGCTAGAGGCAAGACCCTCCACCTGCCCCTTCCCAGCTCACCTCTGGCTACAGCTTAAAAGCTGCACAGAGCCAAGGGACAGACTAGGAGGAGGGTGATTTTCTTTTGACAGGGAAGCCTGAAGCCCCATTTCCCCCCCTACTTAGAAAACAATATAAAACTCCAAACTCTGCTTCACACAGGTCTTTTGAGACCGGTATTTTACTTACACTTTTACTTATTGTTAGCATGCCCTGGATTTGGACGTTAGGTATCGAGGTTAATCATTTAAATTGGACGTGTCTGAGAGTTAGCACATAGACTACAACAGAGAGGAAAGGCCACTCAGGTCTATTTTTCAAGCCCCCAGGAATTTTGAACTTAAAAGGGAGCCAAAGACACTTCCCAAAAATGCAGCTTCCTTCTCAGGCACACACCGCAGCGAGAAGAGACTTCCAGCTGATGGGCAGCACTGCTACAGGTCTAGAGCTGCAGAAATTGGGATGGGACAACTAACATAACAGGATAAACTTCCTACTGCCCACATTTCCTTATGCTTAGCTCCACTCACAGCAGTGATGGGAAGAGCGCGCTGTTTCTTATTGGAGATCTAAGGCACTTCCCAGCACGCACAACCCAACGAGGCACGAACCAAACCCAACCCGGTGCCGCCGGCTCGAAACAAACCCAACCCGGTGCCGTCGGCTGCAGCGCCCTGGGGGCTGGAGCGCCCTGGGGGCTGGAGCGCCCCGAGCTGGCAGCACAGCAGCAGGCAGCTCCCAGCCAGCCGGGCTCTAAGGGATACTCACTTGACAAAAAAGCGCCTCCCCTGCCTGTGTTTTCAGGGCTGAAACCCCAGCATCGCAGCCCAGTTGTGCAATGCCCAATCGGGGATAAGAAGTTACCCACATCTTCAGGGAAAAAATAAACATCAGAACTAGCAATACGGAATGACTTACTGCTTAACTGTGTGATGCATGATGAAGCCTGCTGCACTTTTTTTTTATATATATATATATATATTTAATACAGAGCTCTTAAGGCAACATAAAACTGTTTCTCCAAGCGTCCTTAATTCTTATTGCATTCACTACTCAAGTAGGTCATCTCTGAGCAGAGCTTGGAGATGACCAGAGAGGTAAACCTGCTACCTGCACTGAGAGAAAGTGGCCAGACTGACGGGCAAGCGGGACTGAGGGAAGGAGATCCCGCCGCAGACCTCCCGCTTTTCACACGCTAGAATGGGTTTTTTTAATGTAGCTTCACTCCTATCGCTAAGGGCTTTCTTAGAAACCAGAGCTTTTGGCTGAAGTATTTGCCTCAGGACTTCACGCTGTGCCCGATCCAACTCCAGGGAAGACTCCAGCACGACTGGAGTGACCCTTAGGGCAAGGTCACCAGTCCCAAGTGTCCCTCAAACTCAACGGGGGCAGAGGCAAACACAAATTAACCTTAAGATATGTGAAGCACCTGATACTATCCCCATCAGCGTCTTGCTCCACCTTGGACCACTGCGACACGGTGGCTCTCGGGATACCCCAGAGCAGAACAGCCCCCGCGAAATCCCTTGTCCCCCTTTGCCAACCCCTTTGCCAGGGCCAGGCTGCAGTCACGGGCAGACCAAGTCACCGCAGAGCAAGTGATCTGGACATCAGACTCTGCTACGCGCTGAGACTTCGGGACAGTGCTGAAAACCAAACAAAAGGTCAAATGGGAACAGAAGGCGAACAAAAAAAAACCACTTTTGTCAGAAACTTTTTTGCAGAACAGTTTTCAGGACAACTTTGCTCCCTTTTTTCCCCTCCAGTGTGCTACTTGGCAAGGAATCCCTTGGAAGCAGAAACTACCCATATATCAGCAGATATTTCTTACGCTTGCTAGCCTAAAAAACAGTTTGAAAATTAATGATTTGGACTAAGATCCATTCTTGGTAATTCATGGCTTTGGCAGCATTTAAGAGAAGACATCTATAGCCATTGGAGAGTCTGAGAAGTGGCAAATTTGG